CGCTTATGCAGGCCACAACCACCCACCCAGGCTTATTTTGGGGATAGGACTTATATCAGGCCCATCCCAAAAAATCAGGATAGGGCTTATTTTTGGGGTGGTTCTTATTTTCAGGGAAACACAGTACTAGTTCTACAAACATTATATAAATTAAGTAAATAGATTTTGCCCCTTACATTAACTTTTTCTCTGAGATCAGATAGGTTTCCTTCTTTTCTATATATTGCAAACTCAGGACTCTGTAGTAGAGCTTCTGAGCGAGTCATCCAACTGTGAAGTTCTGTTGTATCAACATCAAATCTAAGGTAAGAAGAAAAAAGCTGTGTTTTGTTGTTCTTGTTTTATAGAAAGTAACAGTAGCCAAACAACTCTTTGACTAAAAACCAGGATACAAATTGAATTAACAGCACAACAATGAGAGCAAGATGTTAAAATAATAAAAAAAGATTTAAAACTATGTGATAATCAAGAAGCTTTCCATATTTCTATTTTAAATAAATTTGACAAAATAGGGTATAATTTTGTTCAAAAATCTAAATTGCATATAAAGCAAATTCAACTCTAAATGATATCCTGTATTCCATGCATATTTAAAATATTATTTGAGTTGACATAAGGAACCAATGGTAATATATGATGCAGAACAGTGATATGATAAAAGCAAATACATTTACAGAGACAGAAATATATGTACAAATAATATGAACATTTAGATACAAGTTAACTTTTTTCTTTTTCTTCTTTCAGATTTTTAATTTTTGTATCTTATTTTTTAATCTGTACCTTACATAATGTTGCTTAAAGAAATAGTGTGATGGGCATGAATACATATGTAAAATGTAAATACATATGTTAATGTAAAAATAATATATAATGTATGGCCTTGTAAAGATGTCAAGAATGCTCATGATGTTTGTTTATTAAAACAAAGTAATTTTATTTGGAAGTATATCTGCCTAACAATAACAGATTTTAGATCAGCATACATACATTGAGAAAAAAAATAATATAATGCCTCTGTTCTAGAGAATAGAAAGATTATATGAAATAACCAGATTGTATCTAGTACACCAGTTCTGCAGATTGTCTCTTGAATAAATCAATAAAGTCGACAGATTTTAGTATGTTAGTCCTTGTAGGCTTGATCTCAGCCTAGTTTACAGGGATTTCTGGATACTTGTCCAATTATGACTCAGTAAATTAACATTCCTTTTTGCAGGTAGAACATTTTGTCCACTTAAAAGAGATGGTGGTAATACTCTTGCTTATCTTTTGTCCAAGCTGTTGTCTATTAGCTGTTTCTATTTCACATTTAGTAAGCTGGTGAAGAGTGTGGTAGCTTTGATCTACAGGACATGTAGATAATGAGCTTTGATTTAGATGTGGATTTGGCATAATATAATTTTATTACCCTGATGCTTGATTTATAGCGGAAGCAAGAAAGAGGTAATGGGATATCTCTGGGTCTTTTGGTAGTGTTGCCAATGAATCTTCTTGGGCACTTGTAGAATTGTTGCTGCTTTTCTTTCTTCTTCCTATTTCTCTCATTCCTGTCAAAAGATATACCTAAGAAACTTCTGCTCCTCAGAGTCGTTCCTAATTTTAGGGACACAATTTGGGATAAAAGCCTGTTCTCACTGGAGATGTATTTCTCCCTAAAGACCAGATTGCTGTACGGGGGTCCCTGGAATTCTCCATTAATGATGAACAGCCAGAAATTATCCGGAAATGGAGAGGAGGGTTATTGTTTTTTGAGTGATAGATGATAAACCTGTACTGCAGTACAAAATTATTAATGTTATACAATTAATGTATTATTGCAATACATAATTTGCAGAAACTTAAAAATAGTGTAGTAGGGGCAAGCTGATCCAAAATGTAGAATTATGGAGAATGAGTAGTTCTTGCTAACATCCTACATCATCTATACATTATAATAAGATTGACTTCAAAGCCAAATCCAGGTGTTTATAGTAATATATAGCCCTAAGCAACTTAGAATCAAGATTTTAGGACTGCCTATTTCCACACAGTAATCCTACATTCTTAGAACATTAATAAAGCAGCGATTATAGGACTTGATGCACATAAATATTATCAAGCTATTTCAACTATATTTCTGAAACTCATTTTGAGCAGTTAAGGGAATTCATTTTTATTTATTATTAAATTTGTTTGCTGCTAATCTCACTGCAAGGCAGATAGAATAGAATTTTTTTTTCAAATTAATAAATGACTGATTCACTAACTGTGCATACTACAATGTTTGAGAATGTTTGAGAAAAATAATTCTTGGATTTTTTTAAAAAGTCAAACAAAATTCTTGTAGAGTATTCTCTATTAAAAAGAAAGAGAAAGAGAAAATAAACAGTGCAGGACACCGACTGATATTTAACAACAACCCTATGAATAAATATAAATATTAGCCCTGTGAATTTATTCAGGGAAAAAATGGTGCATCATTATAGAGAAAGCTTAGAATGGATTTTCTGAAGACATACAGATTTAGTTTTACTACCATTCAATGAAACTATCTTAGATTGTTTCATCATTCAAATACTATAATGTACAAAGGCATCCAATATCAGCAATGTTCACATTGTTTATCCACCTAGATGTTAACTGGAGATGCATAAGAATGGATTTCAGCAGAACAACTCTATGTTCCTGCAATAATATATGCATCAGATGAAATTGTCAGAAGGTACAATCTTCCATCTATTGGTCTGTTTCAAACTTAAATTATTATAACTTTATTGTCATCTACTATTTATTGTTCTGTTCTGAGCAAATGATAATGCAAAAATCCTTGTTATGAGTTTGTACAGAAAATTCACTATACTCTAATAAAATATCTGATGTTTGTGTTAATATTTAATAGCATATTTAATTTTGGCTATTAGATTAGCATTTATTCAGGAAAGAAACAATTTAAATAAAGTTCACTAATCATGATGACACTAGATGGAGCACCAGTCCTGTTTAAATGCACTTGGAGTCTCATAGAAAGATAAGAAAAAAAATCTTATGGAGGTTTATGTATAATGCCATTCTTAAAAGTATGTTTTGAAAGCTGATGATGTTATGGTATAGGTATTCAGATTGTTTTATTAATAGTATGAAATGATTAAAAATACTTTATTATGTGTGTAAATGTGTGTGTAAACGTTTGTGTGTGTGTGTGTATGTCTGTATAACTGGCCCAGTGACGAGATCGAAGAGTCGTGCACACGCCCTAATTAAACCTATAAAGGGACTTTCCCATTGACCAGCATTCTAAGCCCTGAGGATGTCAGCGGATGCCGACGAAAGCTAGGCACTTTTATTGATTTCTATGTATTTTAAAGGTTTTTAATATTCTTAAGAACTTTTATCTTTAAATTATTATTATTAAATTATTTATTCCCTGGTGCTCACGTCTATTGACTGACTTTGAACATGGATATACCCGGGGATCACATTTTTAAAGTAATTTCGGA